GAGGGAGAGGGGGGCGGAGGGAGAGGGGGGCGGAGGTAGGGGGAGAGGCTCGAGAGCTTCCTATGAGAGAAGAGGGAAGCCGAAAGAGCTTTCTGTGACAGGGCGGGGGAGGGAGGGAGGGGGAAGGGCACGAGAAAGGGGGAGGGAGGGGGGGGAGGGAAGCCTCGGAAGCTTCCACGGAGGAAGCGGATAGAAGGAGGGAGGGAGGGAGGATCCCAGCTCATGGTGCACGCACACTTCCTCTGCTTTGCCGTTGGCACGCAACTTGTTCGCTTGACCCCTGCAGCCACGAGAGGCCGCCGCACGACGTTCGCAGCAGCTGTCACAGCGCCGCGATTGTTCGTCGGAACGGCACGGTGACAAATTTTTTTGTTCAGCGAGTCGATTCCTGTCGCCAAATCCTGGCCCCCGCTGCCCCCTTTTGGCCACGTGGTTGGGCCTCGTGTGGACGCGGCATACGACGGGGACAAGGCACAAACCCTCGGAAGCTACAGCGACCAGGGGGGGGGGGGAGCACTTCCGCAGATTTCTAAATTGAAAACTCCACGGCGAACGCACTCACACGGAGGCCACGTGTCGAGGAGGCCACGTGGGCACGTGACCCGTGACCTGGAGGTCGAACAGATGTCACGTGCGGAGGTCACCCCACGTGACCTCCGGGTGATTGTCTCGTGGCGTGACGATGTAGGTTGTCAAATCCGTGGTAAATAATTAAAAGCTGAACTATTTTTATGTTACCAGGTAAGGCGCACTGAGCTTTGTAGCTTTTTTCCAGAAGCGACCTGTCCACAAATGATAGCTCATTGAAGTGGCTTATCACGTTTAAATTTAAACGCACGTTTCTAAATGTGGAGGGAAAACCCGGAGGATCCGGAGCAAAAATCCACGCGACCACGGGGAGAGAGACACCGCAGACTCCAAATATACAGCAGCAGCAGGCGTCGGGGTCGGAATCGAACCCACGACCTCCTGTATACCAGGCGAGGTAGTTAACATCTCCTAGCCACCGTGATGATGATGAGAGAGGTCGGGTTCGAACCCACGACCTCCTGTATACCAGGCGAGGTAGTTAACATCTCCTAGCCACCGTGATGATGATGAGAGAGAGACACGCAAACTCCAAGTATAGTGAACAAGCACAGCCTTTGTGAATTATGCAACAAACCATCGGCGGTTCCTGAAGAAACTGCGTTGTCTCTGGTCACCACCGATGTTGGTCGCTGCTGCTCAAATAAATGTTGATGGTACGTGTGTGTGTGTGTACGCATGTTGAACTTCTTTCGCCGCCGTACGTAGCCGAACCGCGCTCATCGGAGGTGCGGGAAAATCGGTGGTTGCGGGGCGACCGAACAACGAGAGGGCCCACAATGCACTGCTTCAAGAACGACTACGGATTGGTTATTTTTGTTGTTGTTGTTGCGTAACGAACGGTGGCCGAGAGCTTCTGTACACGCGCCCCCGTCTGTGTGTCTGTGTGAGAGCGGGGAGCGGTGGCGTAGCGGTTAGCGCATTGCGTCACGAACCTGGAGACCAGAGTTCGATTCCCGCTCATGGCCAACACCGGTGACGATTATCTGAACCGGTCCTTGGCCTCCCCTAGGTTTACTCGGCCTCAAATGAGTACCTGGTGCGGTGTGTAAACATCGCCACTGGGGAGACAAAGGCGGCCGGGCGTGGCGCTGGCCACCCCACCCCCTGCGTGTGCCGTGCCGGCCTTCATAGGTGCTGCTCGCTAACAGCACTTGCCCCAACAGTCTTTTTCAGGCTATACGGGGGTCCTTTGACTTTTGTGTAGGTTTGTGACTTAGAGGATCGTGAAGTGTCGCCACCGTTTTCACTTTTGAGCAAAACCCAGACAGACACATTTCTCAGTCAGCCTGTAGGTCTGTGTTTCAAAGTTCCAACACAAGGCCCGGTACCAGAACTCGGTACAAGTTAACTCCTGCAGCCCAAACGCAGATACCAACCCTGGACAAGTGGCAACCCTGGTGGGTGCTTGGGTGAGTGAGTGGCTGAGTGAATGGGTGAGTGGATGATTGATTGGCTGACTGAGTGCATGAGTAAGTGGGTGAGTGGCTGAGTGTATCATTGAGTGGGTGAGTGAATGTGCATGAGTGACGGTGGATGAGTAAATGGATGGGCGAGTGGATCATTGAGAAGGTGAGTGGGTGAGTGACTAGGTGAGTGAGGAAGTAAGTAGGTGAGTGAGTGGGTGAGTGGCTGGGTGAGTGCTACGGTTTCCAACCCTTCCGTAGACCAAACACGGGACACATTTCTCAACCCTGGCTCAATTGTCTACACGGTGCAGCAGTCGCCTGCGATACAGTTCTACTAGGTACCGGTCGATTTGTTACCAGATCTCGGTAACAATTCAACTTCTGCCACCCGACGCACACACAGACGCCAAATCCCGGGCTCTCCGGTTTACACCTGGCCTGTGACTGCTTATGAATTTCAGCCGTAATTATAGCCCGCCATCGCTGGTTGTTGCGTTCAAGCGCTATTGAAATCAAATGACTTGGCACGCGAACCTGAGTGTTGCCGCTCTCACTCGGTAGGTAACACCGTCCACGGGAGGGAGAACGTGGCGGGCGGTGGTGCAGCGGTTAGCGCTACGCCGCGCTACGAAAACCGCGACCCGAGTTCGACTCCCGATCACGGGCGCCACCGAGTGACGATTCGTCTGAATCCTTTTTCAGGGCCTCCCCCTAGGTCGACTCGGCCTCAAATGAGTACCTGGTGCGGTGTGTGAAAACGTCGCCACCCGGGGAGACAAAGGCGGTTGGGCGTGGTGGCTGGCCACCCACCCCCTGCACGTGCCGTGCCGGCCTTCATAGGTGCTGCTCGCTAACAGCACTTGCCCAAACAGCCTGTTCAGGCTATACGGGAGGATCTTTGTGTATCTGTGCGTATCTCTGCGCGTGAGACAGCTGCCCGACGAGTAGGACACGCGCACAACGTTGTTCGAAGTTCGACCGCATATCCGCACGTCGAGTGAATTCTAACCGCATAGTCGAGCGAAGTTTGGGGCAACGTTAAAGTCGCGAAATCGCACGAAGCGAACCCGCACGGAGCGACGGAAACCTCTACTAAGTATGTTAACCCTGTGCTGTGTATTTAGACCATTGCCCCCAATAGGTTTTCCAGACCGTGTTGATGAGACCCAGAAGGTGAGAAACCTGCCCACCGATGGGCTTTGGCGAAACGACGCCCTGTCCGGTCGTATCGGGCCGGAAAGCCCCCGCAGGCTTACGGCAAAGATGCCCTGCTGGTGGTGGCGATTCCACGTTAATAATGGCGAGGGTGAGATTACCCATAGGACAAGTAGAATCAGAATATGCATTCATCCTAGGGGTAATCCCATTAGCCATCGAGCACTTTTTAACAGATGCCGTTTTCACAGTTGTTGGCTTCCCCGCAAAGTGGTGACCATTTTATCCACCCCCCAGATGGATGATGGGCTGCTTCAACCGTACACCCCTCCCCACCCTGTCGTCCCCAAGCAGGATTTGAAGTTAATATTACACGTAGGCTTTCACGACCAATGTTATGATACATAAATATGATTAGTTACATTTAGGTTCTAGCACCGTAGAGGGGCCGTCCATAAATGACGTCACGCACCTGGGAGGAGGGGGGGGGGGTCAGACATTTGTGACGATGTGTGACGAGCGGGGGGGGGTTTGAGAAATGTGACGTCACATCAAAATGCGCAACTTTAAATAAATATAGACAACACGTTAATTAAATAGACTTTTTAATAAATGTTTTCTCCTACAACATCAGAGTGCAGCGCCACATTAAACACGCACTACAATGTGACAATATGTTCATATTCTTAGTTCTTTCGGTAAAGTCACGTTGAAGGGAAACAACAAAATAATAAAATATATATAAAACAATAAAAATTCTCACGACGTTTCGACCATAACACAAACGGTCGTCTTCAGGTGTGTCGGTTTGTGTTATGGTCGAAACGTCGTGAGAATTTTTATTGTTTTATATATATTTTATTATTTTGTTGTTTCCCTTCAACGTGACTTTACCGAAAGAACTAAGCATATGAATTACTGCAGTCACGAAAGCTTTCAATCAAAATGTGACAATAGTTTAAAGCGATTTGAAGCATGTTTTATTTTTTGGAGGGAGGGGGGCCAGAGCTTTGTGACGTCATATTTTAGGGGGGGGGGGTCTGACTATTTGTGACGCCGTATGACGAGGGGGGGGGGGTGTCAAAAACCGTCCAGAATCGCGTGACGTCAATTATGGACGGCCCCATATTACGAAAGTTTGTATCTTTATTTTACAAGGCAAGCGACCTGGCCATCACAAATGATGGCTCAACGCAGCGGCTTATAATGATCATCATCACCACGTGGACATGTACAGCAGCAGTTCAAATACTCAACACGCGCAGATGTTAATTGTAAATGTGGAGGGGAAAACCCGGAGGGTCCACGCGACCACGGACACAGAGACACGCAAACTCCAAATATACAGCAGCAGGTGTCACGGTCGGGTTCGAACCCACGACTCCTGTATACCAGGCGAGGTAGTCAACATCTCATAGCCACCGTGATGATGATGAGAGAGAGAGACACGCAGACTCCAAATATACAGCAGCAGCAGGCGTCAGGGTCGGGATGGAATTCACGACCTCCTGTATACCAGGCGAGGTAGTTAACATCTCCTAGCCACCGTGATGATGATAGGACAGATGATAGGACAAAGCGTGTTATGTTATAAAAATATAGAGTAAAATGACGGTCAAAGACGGCGGTGGGGTGAGGGTTAAGACAATGAAACTAGGAGTTTACTGTGTTTGCAATGACCCACGACCAGCGGACCGTCGGCGTATACTGGTGCTGCGTTCGCTATATATAATACACTAGTACCACTATTAGTTTACACTATGGGGCGAACTAATTATTTTTGTCATTCGTAATGTTATGCAGGATAGGATAAAAAAAATATACGCTTGATAAATGACGTGAGGAAAATTTGCATTTCGTTAACTCCCTTCAACATGTTATGATCAACAAATATACACGCGGGTTATAAATGTGTTCCCGTGCGCGCGCGGCGTTGTAGGTAATTTTCAGGGCCCGCATCGATTCGGGACATTGTTGAATTGATTCATTGCTCTGCCAGTAAGGGGAATTGAATCTATTTTCTGTTACACGAATCGTATACTTCATATCATAACGTGCTTCTGAGTTAACCCGATTGAAATCGATTGTTTTATGCGAGCACTGCACGGTCATAGAAGCCTTCCATAACCACTGTAGGGGCCATGTATCGAAATGGATAATACAAATAATAGATTATTAAATCGATTGAATTTTGTTCACGATTCGTGCGCACTGGGAATCGTTGACGTGTCGGATCTCATGTTGCGCGATGACGTCACCAAACGTCCAGACTCTCGGCTGCGCGATGACGTCCCCATGGTTCCGCATTGTTCCACCCTCGCGGTGCGCGATGACGTCATGCGCCGGCCGATTCTTCTTTCACAGCGTCATGACGTCGCCCACCGTTCCCGCACGTTCGAGCGCGCGCCCTCCCCTCCCCACAAAGCGATGCGCGATGACGTCACCACGCCCGCACACACAAAAAGCGATCCCCCCTCCCCCGTGATGTCGCTACGCACGGCGCGTGGTGACGTCGCCACGCACGCCACGTGTCTCTCTCGCGCGCGCGCGCGCGCGTGATGACGTCGACCGTGCGCGATGACGCAAGCGCGCCGGTGCTGAGCTGGCGAGGCGGAGGAAGAGGAGAGGCAGTGAAGAGGAGGGAGGAGGAGTACAGAGGAGGAGGTGGACGAGGAGGAGCTGAGGAGGACTTCCCCGGGTTTCACTGAGCAGCGGCGGCAGCAGCAGCAGCAATGGTTCTACGCAAGAAGAACAAGAGTCCGCCCGTGTTGAGCCACGAGTTCATGATTCAGAACCACGCGGACATCGTTTCGTGCGGGGCCATGCTCATCGCCCTGGGTCTGGTGTTCGAGGTGGGTGACGAAGGTGGAGGAGGTAGCGCCTCGGTGGGGTGGGGGGAGGTGACGAGGTGGAGGGAGGTGAGACAAAGAGGGTGGGGTGGGTGGGGGGGTTGTGTGAGGAGATGTGGGGGGAGGAGTGAGGACGAGGTGAGTGACGAGATGATGAGTGAGGTAAGGTGACGAGGTGAGTGAGGAGAGGGAGAGAGGAGGAGGCGGCAGGTATGGTGCGCGTGTGTGTGTGTGTGTGAGAGGAAGAAGCGTGGAGAGAAGGGGAGGTGAGTGACGTGGCTTAGTGGTCAAACAATCCCCTTCACTCGCACGGCTTGGGGGAGGAGGGGAAGGGATCCCCTCATCCAGCAGTGGAGTGAGTGACCAGAGGATCATACAGCCACAACTGCTGCCCCCCCGCCCCGCAGATTTTGGCTTCCTAGGTGGGCAGATGTTAACTACCTCGCCTGGTCTACAGGAGGTCGTGGGTTCGATCCCGATCCTGACGCCTGCTGCTGTATATTTGGAGTCTGCGGTGTCTCTCTCATCATCACGGTGGCTATGAGATGTTGACTACCTCGCTTGGTATACAGGAGGTCGTGGGTTCGATCACGACCCTGACGCCTGCTAGATATTAGGAGTCTCCGTATCTCTCTCATCATCATCATCACGGTGGCTATGAGATGTTGACTACCTCGCCTGGTATACAGGAGGTCGTGAGTTCGATCTCGACCCTGACGCCTGAGAGTTATTAGGAGTCTGCGTGTCTCTCTCCCCGTGGGCGCGTGGATTTTTCTCCGGGTCCTCCAGGGGTTCCACCCCCCCCCCCCCTCCACATTTAGAATCAATGTCACGCGTTTGGGCAACTACTCCACATTTCCACATGGACGATGAGAAGCCACATTTGTTGAGCGAGTTATATTCATTTGCGATCGCCAGGCCGCCTCTTACCTGGTAAAGTAAAAATATATATTTACGCGATATAACCCCTCCCCCCCCCAAAAAAAAAACAAAACAACCCCCTCTATTGTGGATGATATTAGTCGCGAAAGCCTACGTGTTAAGCTAAAAAAATGTTTCATGTATAATTTGTAGCCAATCACAGAGCCAGACGATTCGTCCAATCGCAGCGCACCGTCCCTGGGCTGCACGTGCTCCACGCAGCACGTGGTCTCCTCTCGAGGCGATGCCAATGGAATCGTCCGCGCCCACTGCTGGTTTGTGTCCCTTTGACTGTTCATTGAAAGGGACGAAGATGTCTTTCCCTCGTGTTCATTACGGTATAGTAATAATAATTGGCTCGTAATTAAGCGGCTGAAAACATACCTAAAGTAGTAAAAACACCGATTTCGCCAGGGGAACCTTCCTAACGAAACTCCAGTGCGACTTTCCTGGATGAATAAGTGAATGATGTAGGGTTACTCTGGGATCGGGTTAATGTCTAGGTGTTTTTGGGGAGTCTTGAGTGCAATCGTGGGGGACATGTTGGGGTTTAACGTTAGATGTTAGAGTTTGTGGTTAGAGGTTAGGGTTTAATGTTAGGGGTTAGAGTTTGTGGTTGGGCGTAGAGGTCACGGTTTAATTTTAGGGGTGTGATAAGGTTTGTGTCGAGGGCTAGGGATATTGGTTTGGGTTAGTTTGTAGGGTTTAGGGTTAGAGGTCAGGCCGTTAGGGTGAGGATTAGGTTAAGTGTAAATCTTTAGGGTTTATTGTTCGGAGTAAGGGGTAAGGTTTCAAGGATACCTGTTAGGTTTTAACTTTCGGGAGGGTTACCGTTTATGTCCAGGGTTCGAGGTTAGGGTTTAAATTAGGGGGTTAGAGGTTCGTGCTCTGGTAATGTTTTAGTGTCACGGGTTAGGGTTTATGGGTCAAGGTTAGGTTTAGTATTTCCGGTGAGCGTTGAGATTAAGGCGTTTATGGTTCGTGTTTTATTCATTCTAGATTTGAAGTTTTCGTGACTGCAAGGATCCATACTCTTTGGTTCTTTCGGTAAAGTCACGTAGGTGTTATATTGTTTTGGCGAATGTGGTTCGAATATTTGAGTTTTTGGTGATGGGTGTAGGCGTTGGGGTTTTCGGTTTGGAGGGTGGAGGGGGGGGTCAGGGATAGTTGTTTAGGAGTTTGTTTTTAAAGTTAATGCGCGGAAGGTTGAGGTTGTGTTTGGGGTTAGGGTTTGAGGCCTATGCAAAGGTGTATGGTTGTGGTTTTGAGTTTACGTGAGGGTTTAGGATTCTCCAGTCGTAGCCTGCCTCTGTGGGGTTTTTTCATTCTTGGGTCTGGGAGTATGGGAGGGTGGTCTCTGATTGTGGAGGTCTATCGGGCGGAGTCTCTTCATTCTGGGGTCTGTGGGAGACCCCTGGGTGTCGCGTGTGTGGGGAGTCGCTGGTTCTGTGGTCTGTCGGGTGGAGTCTCTTCATCCTGGAGAATCCCCGATTCTGTGGGTACGTGCGTGGGTGGGGTATGTCGGGGCGGGGGGGAGATCCATGGTCCTTGATTCTGGGGTTCGTAGGGAGAGGGGGGGTCTTTGGAGGGGTCTCTGGTTGTTACGCTCTGGTGTCGCGTTGCGTTGACGAGCGGCGCTTCCTCAAACACTTCCTCCTCTTTGCCGCGAGTGGTTGTTGTTGTTGTTGTGTGTGGCGGTCACGCAAGTTGTTGTTATCGCACTTGGCCTACGAGCCTGGCCGCCCCGTGTTGCCATTCCCTCGCCCCACGCGGTTCCAAACTCAGTGGCGAGTGCTCTTACAGGATGTACGATTGTACGTGTCTCCCATTAGCACGGTTGGCTACTCACGGTGGTGCGAAATAGGTTCAACAATAACACGCACACGTATCCAAACCGGTCCCGGGTTAATCGCACGTTGCATTATTTGTCATTAGTTGTGTGGATGTTGATGTGTTCGGGGGGTGTGCGTAGCATAAGGGGTGTAGGTGTGTGTGTGGCATGCAGGGTTGTGTACGTGTGTGTGGTATACAGGGTGTATATATGTGTGTGTGGTATACAGGGTGTATGTGTGTGTTATACAGGGTGTATGTGTGTGTGTGGTATACAGTGTGTATGTGTGTGTGTGGTATACAGGGTGTATGTGTGTGTGTGTGGTATACAGGGTGTATGTGTGTGTGTGTGGTATACAGGGTGTATGTGTGTGTGTGTGGTATACAGGGTGTATGTGTGTGTGTGGTATACAGGGTGTATGTATGTGTGTGGTATACAGGGTGTATGTATGTGTGTGGTATACAGGGTGTATGTGTGTGTGGTATACAGGGTGTATGTGTGTGTGTGGTATACAGGGTGTATGTGTGTGTGGTATACAGGGTGTATGTATGTGTGTGTGGTATACAGGGTGTATGTGTGTATGTGTGGCATACAGGGTGTGTGTGTGTGTGTTATACATGGTGTATGTGTGTGTGGTATACAGGGTGTATGTGTGTGTGTGGTATACAGGGTGTATGTGTGTGTGTGGTATACAGGGTGTATGTGTGTGTGTGGTATACAGGGTGTATGTGTGTGTGTGTGGTATACAGGGTGTATGTGTGTGTGGTATACAGGGTGTATGTGTGTGTGTGGTATACAGGGTGTATGTGTGTGTGTGGTATACAGGGTGTATGTGTGTGTGTGGTATACAGGCTGTATGTGTGTGTGTGTGGTATACAGGCTGTATGTGTGTGTGTGGTATACAGGCTGTATGTGTGTGTGTGGTATACAGGCTGTATGTGTGTGTGTGGTATACAGGCTCTCCACGTGTGTGTGTACGTGTGGAATGCAGGGTATACGTGTGTGTGAACGTGTAGCATGTAGGGTATACGAGTGTGTGCGTCATACAAGGTTTGTGTGTATATCAGTGTATGGTATACATGGTTGACTACGTACGGTGTGAAAGAAGTCCATGCATGCATGCGTACATGCACGAACCTGGCGATCCATGTTTGATTCCGGCTTACGACCAGTAAGTTGGCGAATATCTGAACCTGTCCTGGGCCTTCCCTCGGTCGACTTGGCCTTGAAATGAGTACCTGGTGCCGCGTACAAACATGAGCACTGGGGAGACAAAGACGGCCAGGCGTGGTATTCGCCACATCGCCGCCACGTGTGCCGTGCCGCCCTTCATAAGTGCTCGCTAACAGCACTTGCCCCAACAGCCTGTTGCATACAACGTGTGTGTGTTTGTCATGTACAGTGTGTGTTTGTCATGTACAGTGTGTGTCATGTACAGTGTTTGTCATGTACAGTGTGTGTTTGTCATGTACAGTGTGTGTCTGATGTACAATGGAAAATCTTCGGCGGTTAGAGATGGAACATCTTTGCTCGTTAGAAACATTTAGGCTGGTCTACCTACGACCCATCCTGGGGTTAACGAGGCTGGATTGTGTGAGGAGCTCACAAATCCTTGATAGATCTGGACAAAGTCCCATTGTTGAGCTTGTCCGGCAGGCAAGGCTGCGTTGGCTGGGTCATGTAGCACGCATGCCCAGCTACCGCATGCCGAAACAGCTTTTGATCGGTCGGATAGAAGGAGCTATATACAAGAGGACGTGGAGCTGAGTGGACTTGCCCATGACTGGTACCAGCGGTGTTAAGATCGGCCTCTGTGGAGGAGGCTCGTGAAGGACGCTGCTGGGCAGTTGGAGGCAGTCGCCCTCCAACAACAACGGAGGGCAGAGGAGCTACGCTCACAACAACGAGCGGAGCGCTAGGCAGCTAAAACAGAGCAAGTTGGCACAGTAGGGGGCACAGATGGTGCATCGGCCAGTCATCTCAGTCGGGTTTGCCCCGTGACCTCCTGCCGGCGGGCGTTCGACACTTCACATGGCCTCAACGTGCACATAGCCTGGCACAAGCGGCGTGGTGACGTCACCGCCACTTAGTGGCAAATGGCAGTTATTGAATGGCGGTTGTTAATATACAGGGTGTATGTGTGTGTGTGATGTACAGGGTGTATGTGTGGTACATATATAGGATGTGTGCGTGTGTGTGTGTGGGTGTATTGCATCCTCCACTGGCAGTGAGGATACAACCACGACCAACATCTTAGCGTTTTTTTTGTACGAGTGTGCGCATGTTAGAGGGAGCGGTGGTGCAGCGATTAGCACACCGCACGACCAGCCCCATGCCACCTGCTCGCCAAATCCAAATTAGCACAAACTCAAAAATTAACAACTTAAAATAACTCATTTGTTGGGACTTTGCAAAGCTATCAAAGTCTCCTTACCCGCAGAGAATGCTCCAGGCAACACTTGCAACAGTCTGTTAATGCTGTACGGGGTGGGGGGTGGGGGACTTGACTTCATCTACATGAACTGTCTGTGCGTACACGTGTCATCACGTGTTTGCGATGCACGTGTCAGTCCACGCTCTTGGACGCCCTTTGCACAACGACGAGGTGTTTCCATCTCGGTACTCTTGCCGTGCATTCACGGTTGACAGCGGTGGCAAGCGACGACCCAATCAACCCTCTGTGGCTCTCCCTATCCCAAGCCCGCACCTCCAATTAGCGCGGTTGGCTACGTACGGTGCGAATGAAGTTCAACGTACGTATGCGCCGTCCGTGTGTGTGTGTGTGGGGGTAGAGCTGGTGCATCTACCAGTCATCAATCAGCCAATCAATGGCACCTGGGTTTGTCCCGTGACTTCCTGTCAGCTGCGAGCCTTCTACACCTCACGTGGCCTCAAAGTGTACCTGGCCTTGCACAGGCACCGTGGTGACGTCACCGTCACTTAGCGGCGAATGGCGGGTGTTGGTGTAGGTTTGTGGCGCAACTTCAAATTACATACATGTCCACTTCCCCGCCGACAACTCCACCAACCCGCGTTGACCAGCGTGGCGAAATATGGCCAGACGACCACTGCGACCGACACTCGGCATGCTCTCTCGGCCTTCATCCAGCAATGAAGTGACAGGGTGGTGATCTGTATTAGCATCACGTTTGCTTACCCGGGGAAGGTCTCGCCGATTCTCAGGACTCTGTTTTTTTTTCAGGAGGGTCCTGTCAGGTTTTTCGCAGTAGGGGTGGGGGCGGGGGGGGACGATGTAGCTGCTGCTTCTGCTGTTGAGGGTGAACCCTATTGAGTAATTTGCACGTGATCTTGCAGCATGTTTGGCCACTGGCAGTTATATTCCGGTGGGATGTATATATATATTTAGCGGAGAAAACCCATGCCAGAACAGGAAGAGAGAACTCACAAACTCCGCTCACTCAGTTCAGTTCATTTTGGTATAGCCCTGTGAGCCATTCGGCTCTTGAATCGGGTGCAACCACAACAAACAAAAAACTAAAACACGAACAAGAAAAACATGTTAAAGTGACTTTGTGTGACTGTGCAAACAGAAAATCCATGGAAAAAAACAACAGCAAAAATATTCCTGAAAAAAAGCACCGTGCACCAACGCTGTGGGCAAAAAATCCCAGTGGGATGCAAGTTAAACAACAACAACCACAAAGACAACTTAGATTAAGCCCATCAGTCTAACTCCGTACTACAACAAAACAAACATGTCCAAACCAAAAAACTTTTCCAAATCACCAAAAAGCCATAATTGCAACGTAACAGTGATCAAAAGGACTGTGACCGAATTTTTACAATAAACTACATAAACAACATGTAACACCAAACCCTAGAGCCACAGCTGGCTGCATGAGTTACTCCACAACAACAGAAGCATCGGTCGGAGTATCACATTTTTCAATGCACCTTTAAGATCAGCACGCTAAATCAAAATACAGATAATACTTTGCAGCGTCATCCGGAGCGAGACATTTTATTTTATTTTACGCCAATGAATAGCAGTGGCAGCTTGGGGTGTACAACTCCTCTAGAGCAGTTTTGAGAGAAGATCTCATTGGTAGCGATTCAAGTTGCAGTTTATTGGCAATAGCATTCCAGACTCTGGGGGCATCAATAGCAAAGGGCCCTTCCTCCAGTTTTTGTACGGCAATAGGGGAATGTGAAGCTGCTAAATGACGGAACTGGCAGAGAGCCACACACAAACGTCGGGAATTGAACCCAGGTCTTTCTTGCTGTGAGGCATGGGCGCCACCATTGCGTGTGTAATTTCTGCGAGTGCTCGCAAGTGCGCGTGCGTGCGTGCGCGTGCGTGTGTGTGTGTACACATGCGTGTGTTTTTGTGTGTGTGTATTGACTCACCTGTCGGGTTCCCACCGCTCCGGTTGGAGGCGGTTAGAGCTCACGGTCGCACGTGTGTGTGTGTGTTTTGTCTGCGTGCGTGTTCTCTGTGTGTGTGTGTGTTGTGCGTGTGTTCTGTGCCTGGATGTGTGTGCGTGTGTGTCTCTTGTCTGCAGGTGACGGCGAAAGTGGCGGTGGTGTTCATCACGCTGCAGTACAACGTGACGGTGCCCGCCAGCGGTACGCACGCCTGGGGGGGCACACGGGGGGGGGGCACACGGGGGGGGGGCACACGTGGGGGGGGGGGGTGGGGGGTAGCGGCAGGACATGGCTTGACCACATTCAGTCGACAGCTCGCCCAATCGCTCGCCCATTCTCTCGCCTATCTGCTCACACATACACTCATTCATCCACTTGAGCAATGGTTGAGCTATATTTATTTATATTTTACCAGGTAAGGCCAACTGAGCAGTACAGCTGTTCAGAAGCGACCTGGCCTTTCACAACTCATCGCTCACGGAAGTGGCGTGTCACGTGGGCATTTATAGCAGCCAAATACACACGTTAATTCTAAATGTGAAGGGACAAACCGGAGGACCTGGAGAAAATCCACGTGACCATGGGGAGACATTGAGAGGACATGCAAACTCCAAATATACAGCAGGCACGTCAGGGGTGGGATCAAACCCACGGCCTCCTGTGTACCAGGCGAGGTAATTAACATCTCCTAGCCACCGTGGTGCCCTGCTCATCTGCTCACTCATCCTCTTGCCTATCTGCTCCTCTCACCCATCTACTAGCTCATCCACTTACCAAATCGCTCACCTACTCATCCGCTGACTCATCTGTTCACTCAACTGCTGACCCATTAGCTCGCTAATCCATTTATTCAATCGCTCACCAACCTATCCGCTCACCCAACCTCCATCCATCCGCTTTATCATTTGCTCACTCATCTGCTCACCATCTGCTCATTCATCCACTTACCCAAATGCTCACCAACTCTTCCGCTCTGAACTGTTCACCCAACCAATCACTCAACAGCTCACCCTTCCGCTCATTCATCCACTCGCCAAACTACTGACCCAACCGCACCTATGAGCGATCAAACCTCGCGACAAACACTGCATGGGTGGGGAGGCTTTAATCTTGCCGTGGATAAACCGGAATCGGGAAGTGAGAGTCGGTGTTGTTATGATGATGGTTATGGTGGTGGTGGTTGTGGTGATTGTGCATCGGTGTGTGTGCACACGACCAGAGGGGCAGGAGGAACGGGAATGTGTACGTGAGTTGGTGGTGTTCTAATTATGCCGATGATGATGATGGTGGAGCTATTGTGATGATGGTGTTATGATGACGATGATTGTGGCGGTTGTGCGGTTGTGCGTTCTTGTCGTGCGTGTGTGCCCAGAGGGGCAGGAGGAGCGCGTCCTCTACCAGTACGGGCCCAAGGACGCGGCGGCAGCCCTCTTCTACGCGTTGCTCATCATCGTGTGCCACGCCGTGCTGCAGGAGTACGGCCTCGATGTGCGTGCTCGCTCGGTCGCTCCGCGCTCGATCGGTCACTTGAACAGTCGCCTGCGGTGTCGCTCGGTCGCTTGCTCAATAAATCACTCGCTCAGTCGGTCGCTCGCTCACTCACTCGGTCGCTTGGTCAATGAGTCACTCGCTCACTCACTCGGTCGCTTGGTCAATAAGTCACTCGCTCACTCACTCAGTCGCTCGCTCGTTCGCTTGATCAGTCGCCTGCGGTGTCGCTCGGTCACTTGCTCAATAAATCACTCGCTCACTCAGTCGCTCGCTTGCTCAATAAGTCGCTCGCTCACTAAGTTTCTCGCTCACTCAGTCTCTCGCTTGCTCAATAAGTCGCTCGCTCACTAAGTTGCTCGCTCACTCAGTCGCTCGCTTGCTCAATAAGTCGCTCGCTCACTCAGTCGCTTGCGCACTCACTTAGTCGCTTGGTCAATAAGTCGCTCGCTCACTCAGTCGCTCGCGCACTCACTCGGTCGCTTGGTCAATAAGTCGCTCGCTCAATCACTTAGTCGCTTGGTCAATAAGTCGCTCACTCACTCGGTTGTTTGCGCACTCACTCAGTCGCTTGGTCAATAAGTCGCTTACTCAGTCGCTCGTTCGGTCACTCGCTCAATCGCTCGCTCATTCACTCAATCCGTTGGTCATTCACTCGCAGACCCAGGCACTCAGTTGCTATCTTGCTCAACTCAATCGTTCGCTTTAACAATCGTTTAGTCACCCACGCACTTGTTTGCTCACCAACTTGCTCACTCGGTTAATCACTCGCTCAGTCACTCATTCTTTCAGTCACCGACTCGTTCACTCGTTTGCTCATTCACTCGCTCACTCGCTCACCCAATCAGTCGTTTCACTCTGTCGTCACTCACCGAGTCGCTCGCTTGTTCACTCGATTCTCACGCTCGCACACTCAGTTGCTCCCTCGTGCCCTTGATCACTCGCTGGTGTACTGTTGCTCTCGCGTGCTCTCACCCACTCTCACTCTCACTCTGTCGCTCGCTCGGTTCACCTGGGTGTCTGGTTGTAGTTGTTTTGGTTGGGCACGACACGCTGTCCGTGGTTGTTTATTGCTTTGTGACGGTTGTTGGTGGCGCGCTGTGGTAGCGGCGGCGGGTGATTGAGTTTGTATGTTGGGGGAGTGGTGGCGCAGCGGTTAGCGCGCCGCGTTATGAACCCGGCGACCAGAGTTTGATTCCTGCTAAAGGCCACCAACACCAGTGACGATTATCTGGACCGGTCCTGGGACTTGCCGTGGTTGAATTAGTCTAAAATGAGTAGCTGGTGCGGTGTGTCAGTAAACATCGCCTCAATAGAGACAAATGCAGCCCGGCGTGGTGCTGGCCACCCATCCTTTCGCGCTGTGCCGGCCTTAATAGGTGCTCGCTAACAGCACTTGCCCCAACGGTCTGTTAAGGCTACATGGGGGGGGGGGGGGGGGGTCTTTGTCTGTGGTGGTGGTGGTGATGGCCATAATGGTCATGATGATAATGGTAGTGGTGGTCGTGACGGTGGTGGCATTGGTCGTGATGGTCATCATGATGATGATGGTGGTGGTGGTCGTGATGGTTGTGCTGGTGGTGGTGGTTGTGCTGGTCATGATGATGATGGTGGTGGTGATGGTCGTGTTGGTTGTGCTGGTGGTGGTTGTGCTGGTCATGATGATGATGGTGATGGTGGTGGTGATGGTCGTGTTGGTTGTGTTGGTGGTGGTGGTTGTGCTGGTCATCATGATGATGATGATGGTGATGGTCGTGTTGGTTGTGCTGGTGGTGGTATTGGTCGTGATGGTCATCATGATGATGATGGTGGTGATGGTCGTGTTGGTTGTGTTGGTGGTGGTGGTTGTGCTGGTCATCATGATGATGATGATGGTCGTGTTGGTTGTGTTGGTGGTGGTGGTTGTGCTGGTTGTGTAGAGGCTCAACAGGCGGTTGCATCTCTCCAAGACGAAGCACAGCAAGTTCAACGAGTCCGGGCAGCTCGCCGCGTTCTACCTCGTCTCCGTCGGCTGGGCGGCCTACATCCTTCTGCCCGTACGTCACAGCCTCGCCCATGCCTGGGTTCGATTCCAGACACGGACTCCACTCTCTCTCTCTCTCTCACGCTGCGTGTGTGTGTGTGCGTGGAGTTTGCGTCTCATAGTTTAGTGGTAGTTAATGCCGATTATCTGGTAATTGCTGCTCACTCAGAGGAGGAGTTGGAGGCGCTGCTGCTGAACCTGGAGCTTGCCACTAAGAGGTGTGGGGACTTACTATCAGCCACACCAAAACTAAGCACCTGCCTGGGTATTTTGTACCATCAGACACTCCACCCCCACAACTCCCATTTGGTGATAGGGCAGTTGTGGAGAGAGTGGAGAGTTTCCCATACCTGGGCAGTGTGCTCATGACCGGCTCCGGTTTGACAGCAGAGGTCTCTCAGTCGAGCAGCATTATCTTTTCATCGGTTGCGTAACGCTGTGTGGAAGCTACCCTGGTCTGTCGCTCCACACGAAGCTTTAGGTCTTCTCGGCCACGGTTATTCCCTCCCTTCTCTACGCTTGCGAAATGTAGACCCCCCTAATGGAACATCTTCGCCAGTTATAAACATTTAGGCTGGCCTGCCTATGACCTATCCAGGGTTTAACCAGGCTGGATTGTGTGAGGCGCTTACATATCCTTAAGATCTGGGCAAGGTCCCATCGGTGAGCTCCTCCGGCAGGCAAGTCTGCGTCGGCTGGGTCATGTAGCCCGCATCCCCAGCCACCGTATGCCTAAACAGCTTTTGTTCGGCCGGATCGAGGGGGCTAAACGGGCGCGGCTCGGGCTAGAGAAGAGATGGAGTGATGTGGTACAGGAGGATGTGAAGCTGAGTGGACTTGCCGATGACTGGTACCAGCGGTGTCAAGATCGGCCTCTGTGGAGAAGGCTCGTGAAGGACGCTACTGGGCAGTTGGAGGCAGTCACCTTCCAACAACAACGGAGGAGACAGGAGCGACGCTCACAACAACGAGCGGAGCGTCGGGTGGCTAAGGCACAACAAGTTGGCACAGTAGGGGGCACAGGTGGTGCATCAGCCAGTCATCTCAGTCAGTCGACCCGTGGCACCTGGGTCTGCCCATTGACCTCGTTCCAGCGGGCGTTCGACACTTCACGTGGCCTCAACGTGCACATGGCCTGGCACAAGCATCGTGGTGACATCACCGCCACTTATTCGCGAATGGCGGTTGTTGTTGGAGTTTGCGTGTTGGACGCCGGTGGAGGGATGGCTGAGCCACAGTTCACAGGAGTGGTTGCCACGGTCGTAGTGACAGAAGGTTAAAGGGCAGGCTCTGCGTCGGTCACTCTTTCGGTCACTCACTCATTCACTCACTCATTCACTCATTCTCGCTCACTCCCCCTTTCGGTCGCTCACTTGCATTTTTGCACACTCTCTTGGTCACTCATTCCCATGGCGAGTCTCTCGGTCACTCGCTCACCTCACTCTCTCCGTCACTCACTCGCTCGCACACTCACCCTCCTCTCTGTCACCTCACCTACTCACACTTTCAGTCACTCACACAGCACACGTTCAAGAGCGAGCCAAATAAAATGCCCTCTAGCCAGCGGTGGTATGAGCAAGCAATTGCAGGGGCTACGCCTTTGCCTTGCTAATGGGGTGCTGTGGTTGGTGACGAACCGTGTGTGTGTGTATGCATGCACGCGTGCAGTGTAGCGGTTACCACACAGCGCTACAAACCCAGCGACCGAGTTAAATTCCCACGCTCGGCCTACACCGGTGACGATTATCTGAACCGGTCCTGGGCCTCCCCTAGGTCGACTCTGCCTCCTTATGAGTAACTGGTGCAACGTGTAACCATCGCCACTGGGGGAGACAAAGGCGGCCGGGGCGTGGTGCTGTCCACCCACCCCCTCGTGTGCCGTGCCGGCCTTCGTGGGCATCACTCGCTATAACAGCACTTGCCCCAGCGGGTCTGTTGGGGCTATATACGGGCGATCGTTGTCTTTGTGCATGCGTGTCTGCGTGTTGTTTTAGGAGAATGACGTGACTCGCCCCGCCAGCCTGTGGGAGGGCTACCCGCACACGGAGATGCCGTGAGTACCCACGCGGGGTTCACGGTGGCCGTGTTGGAGACACCGAGGCGGCAGCCGCCGAGGTCCTGGGTTCCAGTCGAGGTTTCTTTGGTTTCTCAAGAGACCCGTGGGCTCGCGTGGAGACCCGAGGAGACCCGTGGGCTAGAGGTAGAGACCCGTGGGCTAGAGGTAGAGACCCGTGGGCTAGAGGTAGAGACCCGTGGGCTAGAGGTGGAGACCCGTGGGCTAGAGGTGGAGACCCGTGGGCTAGAGGTGGAGACCCGTGGGCTAGAGGTGGAGACCCGTGGGCTAGAGGTGGAGACCCGTGGGCTAGAGGTAGAGACCCGTGGGCTCGCGAGGAGACGCGTGGAGACCTGTGGACTCACGTAGACCCTTTTTGCTGTGTGTGCATGTGTTTGTGTGCGTGCGTGTGCGTGCGTGGGCACGTGTGCGTGCGTTTCTGCTGCTCAGGTTCCTTGTGAAGTTTTTCTTCATCGGGCAGCTGGCCTACTGGCTGCACGCCATTCCTGAGCTCTACTTCCAGAAAATCAAGAAGGTGAGCGCATGAATCAACCCCACCGCCACCACCACCCTCCCGATTCTACCCCCATTCGCAACGAAACTAAAACCTTTCTATATTTCACCAGGTAAGGCCTCTCTGAGCTATGCAGCTCTTTATCAGAAGCGTCCTGGTCATCACGAATGATAGCTCAACAAAGTGGCTTGCCATCATCGCGTGGACATTTATTGCAACTAAATACTTGAAACGCCAGACGTTGAATTCTAAATGTGGAGGGAAAAACCGGAGGGCCCGGAGGAAAAAATCCACGTGACCACGGGGAGACCAAATATACAGCAGCAGGCGTCAGGCTCGGGATCGAACCCACGACCTCCTGCACACCAGGCGAGGTAGTTAACATCTCCTAGCCACTGTGATGATGATGAGAGAGAGAGACACGCAAACTCCAAATATACAGCAGCAGGCGTCGTCAGGGTCGGGATCGAACCCACGACCTCCTGCATACCAGGCGAGGTAGTTAACATCTCCTAGCCACCGTGATGATGATGAGAGAGACACGCAAACTCCAAATATACAGCAGCAGGCGTCGTCAGGGTCGTGATCGAACCCACGACCTCCTGCATACCAGGCGAGGTAGTTAACATCTCGCTACCGCAGCGCGACGCCAGGCATCTCTCGAAGGGGCCTATCGGCTCAAAGTGCACCCCAAGCATCCCCATGTCTCAAGTTTTGGCCCGAGGTTGGTTCGCCCCATAGTTTTGACGGGAGTGCTCTTGCCAACGGCAACATCTGGTAACACGATGACCATTATGTCGAACGAGCCCTGGTTCTGCTGGACGTAGACCCAGAAGGTTGCAACGGGCCCAGAGTTTGCTTAACCAAACGCGCACGCTGCTGCTGCTGCTGCTGCAGCTGGTTAGTGCTGGTCTGGAAGGCCACCAGGCCCGTGGACTAACACGCGGCGACGTGTAGAGGCTGTCCCCCTTACAACGTGGTCGTAGTTGCGTTTCTGGAAAAAAATCGCGTTGTCATAAATATGATCGTGTAAAGCACGGTCTGCGACACAACGCACGTGAGACGCTTATGCTTGCCGAACGAAGACCTGAGGTGCGCGGGTAGTTGTTCGAGCTGCTTCCAGCAGCATCTCCCCCCCCCCCCAGTGCCTCGTGCCGTGCTGCGCCGAGGCAGCCGCACGACCGCCGATTCCTACCCGCGCGGCGCAGTTCCGTTCACTCGGTGGCGTTCCTCCTTCAAGACGCCTGGGCACCGTGGGAGTGCCGGGGGGCCCAGCACCACCTCCAGTGCGGCCTCTTCGCGAGACGGCCTCTTTCCGCCGGAAGTGGCGCCGGGGGCGGCGAGCCACTTGTGCTCGCCGCAGAGGACCGCAGCGAACACGGCCGCAGGCTACGATTAGCTGGCGCCAAACTGTCGCCACCCCCGCCCGCCCGCCCCCTCCCGCACGGCCTTGTGGGAGCCTCGATCGCGTAACCAGGGGTTTTTCTGCCACGCTCCAGCCCTAGCGGCCCTCCGCACTGCGCCGGGTCTTTCACCCGTATTTTCCAAATCACTCCAACCCCCCCCCCTTCCCAACTAAAGGTTCACGATGAGTGGACGAAGGGTTCGTTCGTTACAGCCCCCCACATGGGGGGGTGGGGTACGGGGGGGGGGTGTGGGGGGGGGGGGGGGGCAAGGGGGGGTCGTTAGACCCCAGTCGAGGCTCTACCAGCATTATCTTATGATGGAAGATCGAAGGTCCTTGGCCTACTCTTTCACGCTGCGTCTTCTTACGTTATAGGTTACATCGCGACCGAGTCGCATTAATTAAGATTTTTTTTCCCGTGACGGTTATACAATGATAGTGTCGTTATGACGAAGACGATACCACGATTGTATACTCACAATAAAGATTGTACCGTGATCGTATCATTGTCATGAAGATTATGCCACGATCATGTCACTGTAATGAAGATTGTACCGTGCACGTGTCGGTGGAGATGCTCGCCAACTGCACTTGCCCCAGCAGTCTGTGAAAGTCTCCGCGCGGCATCTTTTTCTCCCCGTGTGTTGCTGCAGGAGGATATGGCGCGGCAAATCCAGTACATCTCGCTCTACCTGATCCACATCGCAGCTGCCTACGTGCTCTCGTACGTACACAGGCTCAGACAAAGTACCCCCCCGCATAGCCTACGTGGGCTGTTTGGGGCACGGTCCTGTTCGCGAGCGCCTATGAAGGCCGGCACGGCACAACTAATGGGGGGTGGTGGTGGTGGCGTTGTGAACAGCACCGAGCACTCCCGGCCGCCTTTGTCTCCCCAATTCCGATGATTACGCACCGCACCAGGTACTCCTTTTTTTTTTAATTAAGGCAGAGTCGACCTCGGGGAGGCCCAGGATCGGTTCAGATATTCGCCACTGATGTTGGTCGTGGCCGGGAATCAAATCCAGATCCCAACAGGTTTTTGTAGGGCTTGGCCGCTGCGCCTCCCCCCCCCCCCCCCCCCCCTTACGTGTGCACGCCGGTGCACGCCGGCACACACATTGACACTCTCGCACCCGGTTGAGTAGCATGCCGGTAACTTTTTCTGCAGTTAGCATTGCGTGGGATTAGCTGTGGGAGGCAACGCGGCGGAGACCCACGCAGAACGGTCGGGAGAAAACGTACAGACTCCACTCTGCCCAACAATCGCTCGCCCACTCGCTCGCCCACTCGCTCTGCAAGAACAGGGGTCGAAAACGTAACGCACTCCGCGCGGCCCAACGATCGCTCGCACTCATCCACTCGCCCCACGCGGCTCGTGCCCTTGCGTGTACTCGCTCTGCAGGACGGGGAGAGAACACACGCAGACTCCGCACAGAAACGTAACCGATGTCGGCAACCGAACCCAGGCCCTTGTCGCTGTGAGGCCGTGAGCATTGGCTCCCCCACCACCATCACCACCGCCACCACCGCCACCGCTTGCTCCCCACGTCCACGATATCAACGCCGTCTGCCCCTTACCCAAGTGTCTGTCAGTCTGTCCGGCCATCCGTCCGTTGTGTCTGTGTGTGTGTATACCTCTGCATAAACGCGCGCACGCTCGCTTACACGCTCACCGAAACAAAAAACAAAGACAAAGATCCCCCGTATAGTCTTAACAGACTGTAGGGGCAAGTGCTGTTAGCGAGCACCTATAAAGGCCGGCACGGCACACGAGGGGGTGGGTGGCCAGCACCACGCCCGGCCGCCTTTGTCTCCCTCGCGGCGATATTTACACACCGCACCAGGTACTCATTTGAGGCTGAGTCGACCTAGGGGAGGCCCAGGACCGGCTCAGATAATCGTCACTGGTGTTGGCCGTGAGCGGGAATCGAACCCGGGTCGCCGGGTTTATAGCGCAGCGCACTAACAGCTACACAAGTGTGTAAGTGTGTGAAACACTCACACACTCACTGACGCACATTGGCTTGCATGCACACACACACACACACATTTGCTTATACACACACTGAAACGCTCACATTCACTTACACACTCGCACAGTCGCTTACATACACACTGAAACACTCGTGCACTCACGGGCACTCTCGCACACACGCGCGCCCATTCATTCACACGGTCACTTGCACACGCACGCGTTCACTCCCGTACACACAAGGCACGTTGTTGTTGTTGTTGTGTCTGGAACGACCGGCCGAGTGGGCTCTGACCATTACGCAGGGGTCACACGTGGCCCCCGCCCTCCACGCACACTCGGCTTTGCTTCGCGACGATCACAACGCGCGCGACGCCAGTGGATGATCACACGTTCGTGCGGCGGGGGGTTGTGTTATCTTGAGTGGGCGCTGCGTGCGCGGTTCGTGTTGTGTTATGCTGTGGGCGCGCTGTGTGTGTGCGCGGTGTGTGTGCGGTGTTCTGTGTCGTGTTCAGCGGTGCGCGCTGTGTGCTGTGTTACGTTGAAGTGGTGCGCGCTGCGTGTGTGCTGTGGTGGCCGTGTGGTGTCCGTGTGGTGCTCAGGCTATGGCGGTTGGGGCTGGTGCTGCTGCTGCTGCACTACGCGGTGGAGCTCGTGTTCCACACGGCGCGCATCCTCTCCTTCTACACGGAGCGCGTGCGCAGACTGTGAGCACGCGCACACAGTCGCGCACACACACGCACGCACAGCACACTCGCACATACACGCACGCACGGCACACTCGCTCACTCACACACACAGCACTCTCGCACACACTTGCACGTCACACACACCTGTCACACACACGCACAACACACTCGCACATACGCACACGGACAGCACACTCGCTCACTCACACACTCGCGCCCTCGTACACACTTGCACGTCACACACACCTGTCACACGCACGCACAGCACACTCGCTCACTCACACACCCAGCACACTCGCTCACTCACACACTCGCGCCCTCGCACACACTTGCACGTCACACACACCTGTCACAGACACGCACAACACACATTCGCACATACACACACGCACAGCACACTCGCTCACTCACACACTCGCGCCCTCGTACACACTTGCACGTCACACACACCTGTCACACACACGCACAACACACTCGCACATACACACGCGCACACTCGCTCACTTACACACTCGCGCCCTCACACACACTTGCACGTCACACACAGCTGTCACACACACGCACAACACACTCGCACATACTCACACATTCATACTCTTTGGTTCTTTCGGTAAAGTCACGGAGGTAGAAAAAATAATAAAAGCTCATGACGTGATCTTTTATTATCTTTTCTACCTACGTAACTTTACCGAAATAACCAAAGAGTATGGATTCCTGCAGTCACGAAAGCTTCAAATCAAGACGAAACTCGCACAACTCGCTCAATCGCACACTTGGTCACTCGCACACACAAGACAAAAGACAAAGATCCCCCGTATAGACTGTTGGAGCAAGTGCACACACTCGAACACTCACACACTCATACACTCGCACACACAGCACACTCACACACTCACAAACACACACAGCACACTCATACACTCATACACTCACACACTCGCACTCGCACACTCATACACTCACACACTCATACACTCACACACTCGCACTCGCTTACACACACACACAGCACACTCACACACTCATACATACACATACACAGCACACACACAGCACACTCACACACTCGCACTCGCTCACACACGCACACAGCACACTCACACACTCACACACTCATACACTCACACATTCATACATACACACTCATACACTCACACACACAGCACACTCACACACACAGCACACTCACACTCACACACTCGCACTCGCTCACACACACACACACCACACTCACACTCGCTCACACACGCACACAGCACACTCACACACTCATACACTCACACTCGCAGCACACTCACACACTCATACACTCACACTCGCAGCACACTCACACACTCATACATACACACACACAGCATACACTCACACACACAGTACACTCACACACTCATATACTCACACACACGGCACACTCACACACTTGCTCACTCACACACACAGCAGACACACAGCACACTCACACACTCACACACACAACAACAACAACCGCCATTCGCCACTAAGTGGCGGTGACGTCACCACGATGCTTATGCCAGGCCATGTGCACCTTGAGGCCACGTGAAGTGTCGAACGCCCGCTGGCAGGAGGTCATGGGGCAGACCCAGGTGCCACGGGTCGACTGACTAAGATGACTGAGATGACTGGCTGATGCACCACCTGTGCTCCCTACTGTGCCAACCTGCTGTGCTTTAGCCACCCGGCGCTCCGCTCGTTGTTGTGAGCGTCGCTCCTCCGCCCTCCGTTGTTGTTGGAGGGCGACTGCCTCCAACTGCCCAGTAGCGTCCTTCACGAGCCTCCTCCACAGAGGCCGATCTTGACACCGCTGGTACCAGTCATCGGCAAGTCCAATCAGCTCCACGTCCTCCTGTACCACATCACTCCATCTCTTCTTTAGCCCGTGCCGCACCCGTTTAGCCCCCTCGATCCGGCCGAACAAAAGCTGTTTAGGCATGCGGTGGCTGGGTATGCGGGCTACATGACCCAGCCAACGCAGCCTTGCCTGCCAGAGGAGCTCACCGATAGGACCTTGCCAAGATCTTTCAAAGATTTGTGAGCTCCTCACACAATCCAGCCTGGTTAAACCCAGGATGGATCATAGGCAGGCTAGCCTAAATGTTTCTAACCGGCGAAGATGTTCCATTAGGGGGGGGTCCACGCTTCTCACGCGTAGAGAAGGGAGGGAATGACCGTGGCTGAGAAGACCTGAAGCTTAGTGCGGAGCGACAGACCAGGTAGCTTCCACACAGCGTTATGCAACCGATGAAAAGATATTGCCGCTCGACTGATTCGGAGTGAGACCTCTGCTGTTAATCTGGAGCCGGTCTTGAGCACACTGCCCAGGTATGGGAAAGTCTCCACTCTCTCCACAACTGCCCCATCACCGAGGGTGGAGTGTCCGATGGTACAAAATTACCAGGCAGGTGCTTAGTTTTGGTGGGGCTGATGATAAGGCCCCATCTCACACACAGCACACTCATACACTCACACACTCACACACACACACTCATACACTCACACACTCACACACACACACTCACACACTCACACACACAGCACAGTCACTCGCACTCGCTTACTCACACACACGTGCACAAAACATGCAATACACGCACGCCCCATGTCCCCCCATGTTGCCCCATGCCTCCCCGTGTTGCCATGTGTCCTCATGGCTGTATTGCCCTCTGTGTCACCACTCCCCCCCCCGCCCCCCATGCCATGTTGGCAGGTTCACGGTGTGGGCCGTGCTGTTCGTGGTGGCCCGTCTCGCCACGCTCACCCTCACCGTGCTCACCGTGTGGTTCGGACTCGCACGCTCACTTCCCCAGGGGCTCGACCTGGCGACCGGCAACTTCAACACGGTCACCGTGCGGTACGCGGCGTGAGCACGCACAGACACGCACGCGCATGCAGCACACACGCACGCAGCACACACGCACGCAGCACACACGCACGCAGCACACACACACACATGTAGCACACACGTGCACAAAACACATGGATGCGCACATCACATGCGGCACACGTGGCGCGCACACGTGGGACACGCATACACTCCTCACATGCAACACACGCGTCACATGCAACACACACACACACGCGTAACACACACATCATATGGAGCACGCACATGCGCAACGATGATGACAATTTCTCTGTGTGACTGTGCTCTGCATGAGTGCGTGTGTGACCGTGTGTGTGTCTCTATGAGTGTGTGTGTGTGAGACCCGTGTGTGTCTCTATGTGTGTGTGTGTGTGTGACCGTGTGTGTGTCTCTATGAGTGTGTGTGTGACCGTGTGTGTGTCTCTATGAGTGTGTGTGTGTGACCGTGTGTGTGTCTCTATGAGTGTGTGTGTGTGACCGTGTGTGTGTCTCTATGAGTGTGTGTGTGTGAGACCCGTGTGTGTCTCTATGAGTGCACGTGTGACCGCGTGTGTCTCTGTGTGTGTGTGTATGACCGTGTGTGTGTCTCTATGAGTGTGTGTGTGACCGTGTGTGTGTGTCTCTATGTATGAGTGTGTGTGTGACCGTGTGTGTGTCTCTATGTGGTGTGTAGCGGTAGTGTAGCGGTTAGCGCGCTGCGCTGTGAACCTGGCGACCCGGGTTCGATTCCCGCTCACGGCCAACACCAGTGACGATTATCTGAACCAGTCCCGGGCCTCCCCTAGGTCGACTCAGCCTCAAATGAGTACCTGGTGCGGTGTGTAAACATTGCCACTCGAGAGACAAAGGCGGTCGAGCATGGTGCTGGCCACCCACCCCCTCGTGTACCGTTCGGGCCTATAGGTGCTCGCTAACAGCACTTGCCCCTACAGTCTGTGAAGGCTATACGGGGGATCTTTGTTGTCTTTGTGTCTCTATGTATGAGTGTGTGTGTGACCGTGTGTGTGTTTCTATGAGTGCGCGTGTGACCGTGTGTGTTTCTATGAGTGTGTGTGTGTGTGACCGTGTATGTGTGTGACCGTGTGTGTGTCTCTGAGTGTGTGTGCGTGTGACTGTGTGTGTGTGTGTGACCGTGTGTGTGTGTGACCGTGTGTGTGTCTCTATGTATGAGTGTGTGTGTGACCGTGTGTGTGTCTCTATGTATGAGTGCGTGTGTGACCGTGTGTGTGTCTCTATGTATGAGTGCGTGTGTGACCGTGTGTGTGTCTCTGTGTGAGTGTGTGTGTGACCGTGTGTGTCTCTGTGTGAGTGTGTGTGTGACCGTGTGTGTGTCCCTCTGAAAGATCTGGACAAGGTCCCATCGGTGAGCTCCTCTGGCGGGCAAGGCTGCGATGGCTGGGTCATGTAGCCCGCATGCCCAGCCATCGCATGCCGAAGCAGCTTTTGTTCGGCCGGATCGAGGAGGCTAAACGGGCGCGGCACGGGCTAGAGAAGAGATGGAGTGATGTGGTACAGGAGGACGTGGAGCTGAGTGGACTTGCCGATGACTGGTACCAGCGGTGTCAAGATCGGCCTCTGTGGAGGAGGCTCGTGAAGGACGCTACTGCGCAGTTGGAGGTAGTCGCCCTCCAACAACAACGGAGGGCGGAGGAGCGACGCTCACAACAACGAGCGGAGCGCCGGGTGGCTAAAGCACAGCAGGTTGGCACAGTAGGGGGCACAGGTGGTGCATCAGCCAGTCATCTCAGTCAGTCGACCCGTGGCACCTGGGTCTGCCCCGTGACCTCCTGCCAGCGGGCGTTCGACACTTCACGTGGCCTCAAGGTGCACATGGCCTGGCACAAGCGCCGTGGTGACGTCACCGCCACTTAGGTGGCGAATGGCGGTTGTTGTGTCCCTCTGCGTGAGCGCGTGTGACCGTGCGACTCTGCGCGCGTGTCTCTGCGCGTGCAGGATGAGCACGCTGGCCGCCGTGTGCCTCACCCAGGTGTGGATGATGTGGCGGTTCCTCAACTTCCAGCTCCGGCGGTGGCGTGAGAGCCGCCACGCCGCCCAGGCCGCCGCCGCCGGCGCCCGCAAGGCCGGCGGCGGCCAGGGGGCTGGGGGCCCCCAGCTGCGCTCGGGCAAGAGCCGCAAAGACGCCGGTGAGACAGAGGGCCCGCGGTGGGGCCCGCGGTGGTGGGGCACGCGGTGGGGCACGCGGTGGGGCACACGGTGGGGCACGCGGTGGGGCACGCGGTGGGACACGCGGTGGGGCACGCGGTGGGGCCCGCGGTGGGGCACGCGGTGGGGCGTTACCTGGCGGTGGTCGCCCTCTACTGACGAGGTTTGGAAGGCGTGCGCCCTGAGCGCCGTGTCTAGTCGACTGCCCGATTTCTTCTCCGACTTGCGGATGAACCGCGCGCCCGGGATTTCGACGCGAGCTAATCGCTCGCGGAATTGGGCCCCCTAAGCCCCAATTTGAAGGGTCTAAAAATCGGTTGTGTGCATTTGTTGTTGTTGGAAATGTTCATTGCCAGTTGCGCGCACCGTGCTTAAACCGGACAGACATAGTCTTGGTTCTTTCGGGTAAAGTCACGTAGAAGGGAAACAATAAAGTAATAAAAATATAAAACAATAAAATTCCCACGACGTTTCGACTTGCAACAGAAGCAATCATCATCAGGTGTGAAAACCACAGCAAGAAAAATTGAAAAAAGTGGCGGTTATTTTTTACGTTAGCACCACGGAGAGCGATTTGACAGTTTATTCAAATGGACGAGTCCATCTACGTTCGGAAAAGAGGAGGGGGGAGACGAAAATAATGGATGCGGTCTGAAAGCCACCGTAAGCGTGAACAATCAATTAAGACCCGAAATGGTTCATCAAATCCTTCCAATGATTGCTAAGCCAGAATCCATCTTCTCGGTTGAAATTGTCTCTGTGCTTGTATATGTGGATAGCCTCATGAACGAATCTCTCATGGTAGTCAAGATGGCTTGCCAAAGAACCTCCGTCTTGTTACTCCGCTTAATCCGAAATCCACGCCATCGTCTCTACGGTGCACTAGTTGCAATATCTCTGCGGCAGTGGGCGGAGCTCGATTGATGCCGATTGGCACGGCTCTGCCATCGTCCGCTGAGTGCGTGGACTCTGCGGATAGGTGCCGTGGTTGACATGATCGGTGATTCAAAAACGGCCCGTCGCTCTGCCGCTCACCGTGTGTCCGCGTGTCCGCGCGTCGCAGCATCGCACGTGAACGGAGCGGCCAAGAGCGAGGGCGACGCGTCCCCTCGCGCCCTCGCCAAGAAACAGAAGTCTCAGTGAAGGGGGCTGACGGGGACCGCCGTCGTGATGCCCACGGGTTGCGAGGGGTGGGGGGTGGGGGGGGGGAGGCATTGCCCCCCTCCCCCCGCACCGTTGCCGACCGTCCGCGACATCGACGCCGTCCGCCCGTCCGCCTCTCTACCCACGTGTCTGTCAGTTTGTTAGTTCGTCCGTGCGTGCGCGTTGTACCTCTGCATAAACGCGTGCACGCACGCGCTCTGCTCGCTTACACGTTCACCAAAAACCCTTGTGCACATTCGCTTACACGCGCGCACGCACGCACGTTCACTTACATGCACACGGAAGCAAAGACGCTGACACGCACGTTCACTTACACACACACACACACACGGAAACACGCACTCACCTGGCCGTCCAGTCGGCCCGTGCCTGCGTTTGCTTTGTCCTGTGTAGATGCTAATCGGAGTTTGTCGTTGTGTGTGTGCGCGCGCGTGTTAGCGTTGCGCGCGAGAGTTAGTGTGCGCGTGTGTGTGTGTGTTAGTGTGCGTGCGCGTGCGTGTGTGTGTGTGTGTGTGAGCCACAAGGAAAAGGGGTTGGCTGTGTGTGTGCGAGTGCCTGCGTGTCTGTGAGGCTCTGTGTGTGCGTGACCGCCTGAGGCCATGTGTGTGTGTGGCGCGTGTACGTTCGTCTGCGAGTCCCCCCCCGTGCGATTGTTATTGTGGCCGGGTGTGCCGATGAGTCGGGCACGGGACTCATCGGCGTGACAACTCAAGAGGTACTCTGCCCGTCAGCCCCGCAAGCTACTGGGACCTGGTGCGCGCCACTCGCGCCACGCCTTGCCCTCGACTCAACGCGCCTATTCATTGAGCTCGCCTCCCCGGCCTGCGAGAACAAATCGACGACTTGCAATCGGTCATTGACGGATCGCCGATCACGTTTCGAGTGCGGTGGTGCGCTTGTCCGACTCGATTATTTTCGATTGCCCCCGTATGTTACGGGCGCTGCAGTGCGTGGCGGGGGGGTGAGGACCCCCTTGCAACCACTCGGGGCGCGATATTTTAAAATCACGGTCGTGAAATTCAAAACTCACGACCTCCCACCCCTCCCACCCGCCCACCCACCGTCCTCTCCAGAAGCGCGAGTTTTGTCAGCATGGCCCACTCACCTCTACTGAGCCAGGGAGGATGAGGCCACGAGGTGAGGGACGTGGTTAATAATGGCCACCACGACCCCATCTCGGGCCCACCTTAATGAATAATGCACAAATAATTCAATGTTATTTGGCAACCAACATACGCATAATTGTCCCTCCCTCGGCGGAGATCCGTACCGCCAGCAGTGGCCTGAGCAAGCGGATTGCAGGGCTGCGCCTTTATAGCCGGCGGTGGGAGGTTTACCATATCCTCGCGGTCGTGACACCCGCTCGTGCGTCTCCGCCGGATCGATCGTGAGACGCGTGCCCACCGGATTGTAAATACGCGAGCCGTGTGGATCGTAAGACGCCCCGCCAGATGGATCGCAAGACGCCCGGTGTTTGTGTCTGGGCAGGATCACGTGCGCGCGCGCGCGCATATACTACACTCGTACACAGAGATAACGATCCTCCTCTTCCCCCGCCCCTCCCCGTAGAGCCTTCGATAGACTTGGAGCAAAGTGCTGTTGGCTAATAGCGCCTCCTGCGATGTCAGGCGCGGCACACGACGCAGCCAGGCTCGGGCCCGCCTTTGTCTCCCTCGCGGCGATGTAAACGCACCTCGGGGGAGGCCCGGTGACCGCTGTTTAGATACTCGTCAACCGCTGCTGGTGGCGGTGAAGCGGAGGATTGGGATGCGCTAACCGCAGCGCCACCGCTCCCCCCCCTCCCCCTTCCCACAACATCGAACACCACGCGGGCCAACGTAGCCAGCCAGCCGGATCGTGAGACGCGCACCCATAATTGTTTTTCCTTTTACGATTCCTTTTAAAATCGTGGCTTGCCGAGCACAAGGGGGGCGGGGGGTGGGGGAGCAATGGGCCCGACACGCCGAGTGACCAGCGACGTGCCGCGCCGTTGACGTTTTAATTGATAAGAGCACGATTTTAATACGAGAGCTTGAGAAGAAAGGGAGACGGGTTTGTGCGAATGTTGAACAACTTTACCACCGTACGTATCCAGTTGTGCTAATCGGGGGAGTGCGGGGGGGGGACAACAGGGTGAGTGTCTACCTGGGCGAGGTGATGTGGCGAGTGTCTACCTGGGCGAGTGTCTACCTGGGCGAGTGTCTACCTGGGCGAGGTGCCTACCTGGGCTGCTACCAACTGCGCGTGGGGTCTCTCCGTGGGTTGCTTGTAAACGGCTCTCGAGTTGCGCGTTTCCTTGCCGACGTTTCGGCTCCACGTGCCTGGACACAGCACCTGGACACAGCACCTGGAGCGCTACCTGGCCCGGGTTGGGGTTAGAGGACGGGGGAGAGACGGGCGGGCGGGGTTAGGATACGGGGAGTGTGTTGGCGGAGTGGGGGGGCGGCGGTGATGCTGGTTGGTTATGGGCAAGATTCTGGCGTTTGACCTGCAGCCAACGATCTCGAGCGTGCGTCTGATGTTGTTTGTGTGTGGTGTGTGTGGCGTCGATGAGACAATACAACTGTGGCCTGCCACCTTTCCCAAACGGGAGTGACTCTGTGTCCTTGCTGTTCAGCCATCTATATCAGTCTAGTCATCTATATCAAAAAAGGGAAATTTGTAAATATGTGCGTTTGTTCAAAATGTTTTGCATACTTCCCAACATGCAAAAAAACTTGAAGTTTGACACGTGGGTAGTTTCCAGACTGTACACAATGCAAAAAGTATAAAAATAGACTTGTATTTTGAGGGGGGGGGGTGCAGTAATGGATATATGTTGCACGGCAAGTGAGTGGTGACGTCAGATCTGTGACGTCAGATCTGTGACGTCACCCGCATGCGGCAGCGTCACGCAGTGTGCCTGCTGACGTCACGCAAACCCCCCCACCCTCCGGGTAGGCCGTGTATCCCGCACAAATGCGCGGCTGGGTGGGGTGGGGGAATAATCTATATATACTAGGACGAAACTTTTCATTTCCGTGCGAAGAACGGGTACACCTGCTAGTGTTTTATATCGATTTTCTTTATACTTTCAACGAAACAACCATTATTACACCCCCGCCACAAACTTTATCCGCGCGATCCTTGCGGTGGGCGTCGTCACGGGGGGCCGAGGAATCCATTCGGAAGTCTCGCGCCGCGGTGCGAGCCCCGACGCGTTTATTCGAGAACGCAACCCGCGTAAGTGGATGTCACAGAGCTGCCTCTGAGATCCCTTCTTTAAGTGACACTGATCCACACAACGGAACCTGTACGGAAGCGGACACCACAGAGCTCCCCCCTCGTGTCCTCCGTGTGTTCTGCAGACTGCTGGCGAGGATGGGGGAGCGGTGGCGCAGCGGTTAGCGCGCTGAGCTGCGATTTCGGCGAGCCGATTTCGATTCCCGCTCACGGCCACAGACACCAGTGGCGATTTTCTGAACTGGTCCTGGGCCTCCCCCTCAGTCTCAAATGGGCACGTGGTGCGATGTGTAAGCGTCATGTTGCTGGGGAGACAAAGGCGGCCTGGCGTGGTGCTGGCCACTCCACCCCCCCCCCCCCTCGTGTGCCGTGCTCACGGCCTTCACAGGCGCTGCTACTCGTTAACAGCACTTGCCCCAACAGGCTGGTGAGGCTATAAGGGGGAACTTTATCTTTGTGTGTGTGGGAGCGGGGGTGCTGGGCTACGACCCACGTGGGTTCGAGTCCCGCTCACGGGCAACAAGAGCGGTGAGTGACATCGGAAACGGGACCGGGCCTCCCCTAGGTCGACTCGGCTTTAAACAAAACAAAAAAACCCGAGCATATGCTACGGTGTGTAAACCTGAGTAGTGGGGAGACAAAGGCGGTACTGGGCGGGGATGTATTTGTCATCGTGCACATCTCCCCGTGTCTTTATTTTACCAGGTAAGGCCCACTGAACTGTGGATAACTTTTTCTCAGAAGCGACCCGGCTGTAATCAACGATAGCTCACCGAAGTGGGCTAATTATCATCATCATCATCACCACCACGTGGAAATTCATTGCAGCCCAAATGCTCTAAACGGCCGTGATGTTGATTCTAAATATGGAGGGGGGGAAACCGGAGGACCTCGAGAAAAATCCCCGCGACCACGGAGAGAGACGGAGACAAGCAAACTCAAAATATACAGCAGCAGGCGTCAGGGTCGTGATCGAACCCACGACCTCCTGTAGACCTGGCGAGGTAGTTAACATCTCCTAGCCACCCTGATGATGAGAGAGAGAGAGAGACACGCAAACTCCAAATATACAGCAGCAGGCGTCAGGGTCGAGATCGAACCCACGACCTGTAGACCAGGCGAGGGAGCTAACATCTCCAAGCCACCGTGATGATGATGAGAGAGAGAGACACGCAAACTCCAAATATACAGCAGCAGCAGGCGTTAGGGTCGAGATCGAACCCACGACCTCCTGCACACTGGGCGAGGTAGTTAACATCTCTGCCACCCTGATGATGATGATGATACACAGCAGCAGCAGGCGTTAGGGTCGAGATCGAACCCACGTGCTCCTGTATACCGGGCGAGGTAGTTAACATCTCCTAGCCACGCCAGTTGCCCAGCCACGGGGCCCGAAGACCCCGAGGCGCCAAACGGCCAGAGACAAACAGCACCAATCGAGGTTGTCGCAATCGGATAAAGAGAGCGAGAGAGTCGCTCGCTCCCCTTGCTTGAGGTGTCACTAATTAACACCCCGCTCATTAACGCGAGGGCGCGTGCCGCAATAACGACCTAATTAGCCGAGTCATTAATCACGGCGGCCTCCACCACCACCACCACCACCATCCCCCCTCTCTCTCCATCAGCCGACGCTAATTAGTGAACGAGCTTGGAGAGGGATGGGTGGTGGTGTGTGTGTGTGGGGGGGTGGTGTAATGGGTTCCCTCTAAGGGGATAACCGGGATCGATATTAATTAAGGATCTGAGTAATTAAGGATTGTAGGTTGGGGGGCAGGTAGAGGGCGACGTTCCGAGTGTGCCCCCTCCGGGGGAGCGGTAGCGCAGTGGTCGCGCGCTGCTCTACTCGGCCATTCACTTTCACATTTACGTTGCCAACTCGTTTATTTGGAAGTGCCTTTCGTGGAACTCTTCGGGGTCTTTCGCTAAAGTCACGGAGGTATAAAATAAAATAATCCAGCAGTGGAACTGCAGAGGGCGACCGCTCGGGTTGCGATCGAAAGGTCGTGATTCATTTGATATTATTTATACCTGCCACGTGATGACGTTACCGTAAGAACCAAAGAGCGTGGATTACTGCTGCTCACGAAAGCTTCAAGTCAAGACTGATGTTTGTGCTTCAGTTTGTTGTCCCCACTCACCCTGCGCCGCCGATTAGCCACGGTTGGCTACGTACGGTGCCAACGAAGTTCAGCAGACTGTACACACGGCCGTGTAGTGTACCAGGTAAAAGCCCACCGAGGTAATGTGTCTGTTGTTCAGAGGCGATCTGGCCGCACGTGACGATAGCTCATCGTCGACAGTGGCTGCTGTCATCATCATCGCACGTGGGAATTGATGATAGTCGCTGTGAAATCTTCTGAACGTGCCGAGATGTTAACTACCTCGCCCGGAGGGCCGTGGGTTCTATACCCAACCCCGACGCCAATCTATTTGGATTCGAAGCTTTCGTGACTGCAGGAATTACTCGTTGGTTCTCTCTCCGTGACTTTACCGAAAGAACCAAAGATAATTTATTTGGAGTTTGCGTCTCTCTTTCTTTCTCCGTGGACGCGTGTTTCCCCCCATGCACCCCTCCACCCCGCATCCACAGTTTCGAACGCACGCGTTTAGAATATTTGGGCCGCTTTACATTCCCACGTGACAAGCCACCGAGTCACGCTATCATTCGCGATGTCCAGGTCGCTTTCTCAGCAAATGTTTTTTTTTCTCGGGAGTCCTCCGCGGGTTTTCCCCTTCCACGTTTTCGAGACGCGCGTTTTTAGAATATTTGGCTTCTATACAAATTTCCGCTTCATGAGCCACTTTGCTGAGCCATCATTTGTAGCCGGGTCGCGTCTGGAAAAAAAAATGGAGCTACGTGGCTCAGGTTAGTGGGGCCTTAGCCTGGTGAAGTATAAAATAAAGTGTCGTTTTAACTCTACACGTGTCTGCTGCTCACTGATCGGTAGGTGGGTGGGGAATGGGGCGGTCTAGATCAATGATGCATCGATTAATATCGATGACCGTATTGTCCGGATACTAAGACGCACTTGACTACCACCACCACCCCAACCACCCTCCTCTCACCCGCTGGTTGAGTCTTATAATCGGGTCGGTGTGTGCGTGTGCTACCAGATTTGTGTAACTTATTTGATCGGAAGAATTAACACGCGCGCACGATAGAGGGGGCGGGGGGGGACGTCCACCGCAGAGAGATGGAGCGATGACATCGGCTGTGTGTGTCTGTGTGTGTCTATCTGTGTGTGTGTGCCTGTGTGTGTGTCTGTGTGTCTATCTGTGTGTGGGGAGCGGTAGTGTAGCGGTTAACGCGCTGCGCTATGAACCTGGCGACCCGGGTTCGATTCCCGCTCACGGCCATCACCGGTGACGATTATCTGAACCGGTCCCGGGCCTCCCCTAGGTCAACTCGGCTTCAAATGAGTAACTGGCGCGGTGTGTAAACATCACCACTGGGGAGACAAAGGCGGTCGGGCGTGGTGCTGGCCACCCACCCCCTGGTGTGCCGTTCCGGCCTTCATAGATCCCACTCGCTAGCAGCACTTGCAGGGAGCTGCCGGGTGGATTGTTCTAGCCAACGCGTTCGAGAGGCGATCCGTCGAGCAGTGGATTCACCATGGCTGACGGTGACGATGTGAACGGCAGAGGGCAGCAGAGAATCGCGGAACGGAATCCACGCTCCCTCTCCCTCCATTCTTCCATAATTTCACTCACTCACTCCCTCTTTCACTCACTCTCTTTCACTCACTCTTTTTTTACGATCAGAGGAAACAAGAAGACGCTCTGTGTAGTCGGCACTTTGCTTCGTTCATCATTGAGTTTTGTTTTTTGCAATGCTTTGCTTTATGTGCCCCCCACACCCCCCTTGTGTGAATGAAAGATTTCACGAAAGATTTCAAGCTCTGCTCCTTCTTCTTACCCCTTCCCTCTCTCTCTACCCCCCCTCTCTCTCTACCCCCTCTCTCCCGACTCTATGTCTATGTCCCCCCTGTTTTCTACGTACATATTTGTAACTACGACAAGTGCTGAATCTGCACCCAGTCCTCCTCGCAGTCCTCGCTCCCCCCTCGTTCACTCACTCACTGTCTCACTCCCTCACCCTCCCTGCCTCTCTCACTTCCTTCATGGGACACGTGCTCTGCCTCGCATCGCTCTCACTCACTCACACACACAGACAGATCCCTCGTTCACTCACTCACTGTCTCACTCCCTCACCCTCCCTTCAATGGGCACGTGCTCTGTCTCGCATCGCTCTCACTCACTCACACACACAGACAGATCCCTCGTTCACTCACTCACTGTCTCACTCCCTCACCCTCCCTCCCTCTCTCACTTCCTTCATGGGACACGTGCTCTGCCTCGCATCGCTCT